ACCATTTTTGTTAGGTTATTTCCGAATTTGTTTTTTATTTTATTACAAAAAGGTAAGTAATTTTTCTTAAAATTGTTTATGTTTAAAAGTAAATTAGTTCTGGTTACAATACTTCCGATTTAAACTTTTTATTAACATGTTAAGTACCTAAAATAATCCAAATTACCACGTGGCCGACCATTCCAATGATACTTTACAAAGCATTTTTTTTAGTGAAACTGAAGAAGGGTCTAAATATGGTTGTAACGAGAATTCTGGAGAACCTTATCGATATGTTTTTAATTTTTCTAATATGTTATGCAACTGGACTTTGTCCTTTAATACTAGGTGATTTATTAAAAAATCATAAAGAAGTTCCTGATCTTTCTCATTTAAGTTCAGATGCTAGAACCCTTCTTGCTTCACCCAGAGAACAATTACTCTGATCCATATGATTCAAATTTCAAACATATTTTTATCTTCACAATAAAACCATGTTATAGAAATGTGTGTAAATTTTGATGGAATCTCACTAAAAAAGAGTTTTAGTAGTCAGTTTTATCCTAGTTTGTATAATTTGTTGATATATCCTAAAATTGTAAATTTAATAGGCATTTATCATGGTTATGAGAAACCAAAATTTGCAAATGAATGTTTGATTGATTTTTTAACAGAGCCTGTTTTTTTATTAGATAGTTTAAACTAAAATAATTAAGCATGGATGATCAAGTTTGTGGGGTAGTTAGATTACTGTTACATGTTGATTTATATTTTAGGATAATGAGCTTTCCGAAATTGGTGAGGAAACCATAAACGAATTTGTTAGGAGAAGCCATAAGAAGCTGGTCTGCAATAAAATTCAAGGAAAATATAGTTAGCTGGGGAAAAAGCAATATAAAGCTTTTGAAGACACACATACAGCTATGTTTTTAAAAGGTTTGTAACTGTTAAACATAAATCAATCTAAGGAACATTTAAAAACTTACACTATCACTTAAGTGATCATATACAGCCGATAAAGCATATTGTTAACTGTGTCTTATATGTAATTTAGATGGCAAATTTTACCAGTTCACAAATGTTCAGGTCTGGCTATGAGATTGCTTTAAGAACTACACTTAGCTATATGAAATGAAGGTTTGTTGTTGGCTGTATATATTTTATTTATACACTGTCATTAGAAATAAATACCTATGGTTTTGTTGGTATTCTTCTAGTTCAGGTGAGATCCATTAAAACTACAGCACTTGAAATTCAGTTGTTTAATCATACGCCTTTGAATGATGATTTATTTACAATAAGCAAAGTATAATGAACTAAATCTGAAATTAATTTGTTCAATTTATTACATTACATTATAGTACATTAATTTTGTTTTCAGATGCTGCCTGGAAAAAACTCCAAGACCAGTGTTGCCGTAGAGAAGGAAATTGAAACTTGATAATGAAATATCTGGGATGTAAAGAGGAGGCAAATAAAATTTAATTTGCATGTTGCATTAGCAAATATGATTAATTTTGTAATGATTAAATTGTGTGGTTGGTGCACAGAAAGGAACAGTCAATTTTTGAGACTGTTTTATTTATTAAAAATAGGTACCTAAAAATTTATCTACTGCTGAAATAAAACAAAGTTCCATATTAAGTATTGATCTTTTTCATACTTATGATTTCAACTTTAAAACTCAACAATTGACTTGTCTGCTTTTAATTGCCGACCACACACTTGTAAGGTAAATCAGAATGGGAATGGATAAGGGAAGTTGAATGGTTCTGTTTTTAGTGAGCCACAGTTTCAACGATTTTGCCAATTTCTTCAGCAGTATTCACAATCCTTCTTTCTCCTGTGTAGACAAGTGTAGTCAAAGATCCCATATCAGTCACAGCCATATTTACTCTTTAACTATTAAAATTTGTGACATTCTGGCATGCTTACAGTGTCTTAATACCAATAAAGGTCTTGGTCCAGATGGAATATCGTAACTTATTTTTAAGGAATTATGCATTCTTTTTATGTAGGCCTCTATGGCTTATTTTTTATAAATCTCTGAGGGTCACTTTTCATCACAATTTATTTATTGATTGTATCCATTGATTCATCCATTAACTCATTGATTCCTAATTATCGTTCCATTATAATTCTTTCTACTATTCCTAAAATTTTCGAGGCTTTACTGACTGATTTTTTGACAATAAATCTGAAGAATCAGCTTCATACTGGTCAGCATGGTTTACTTACTGTCTAGTTGTTCAACTTCTACTAATTTACACTTATGTTATAATTGCATTAAAAAACATTTTTTATGTCGATTAGATTTATACTGACTTGTCGCGTCTACTGTTCTTGCAAATTGTGTAGACCATATTCTTATTCGGGTATGATCAATTTCTTGAATCTGGATTCTCTTATTAAAAGTGTTACCTTTTAATCTTTATTTTTAAACTTGTTCATAAAATAACCAATCTCCTGAATTGCTTCAGCTAGTTTGTTTTAATATTCCTCCCATTCACTGTGTCAGAATTTATATTTCCATTAAAAAAAAAAGAGGTTAATCTTTGTCAGTGGGTATATTTATTTAAAAAACCCTTAAAAGGGCTACATCAAAAAAACAAACGTTTTCAGACTAAACAGTCCATCATCAGGTTTAAAATCTGCTAGGTTAAAATGCCTGAGCCACCAAAATACATGGGTAAAAACCCTTTAAATTACTTATACTTATCAAAGATTATACATCTTGTTGTTAAAAAACTGTGACGTTCATTATTAAATTAGATATGACTTCAAGTAACATACATTGTAAAAAGTTTTGAGTTCCAGAGCCGAGGAGAAACCTCAACGCACGGAGAACAGCTGGAAACTGATTCCAGGATGAAAACATCCTGGAAGATCATGTTTTGTCATATATGAGTAATTATATTGATACTGTCCCAATTTGAAGATTGGATCGGCCATCGTTTAGCCCGGATAAAGATCCAATAGAGCACATGTGGGATCACCTAAAACGCCGCAATATCATCATCCATACTTAATTCCCACCCACCCATCCCACCAGCTTCGACTTGCTGCATAGGATGAATGGAATAAAATTTCCCAAGGATATGTCCAAAATTTAATATGAAACATGCCGGGAAGGATGCAAGTAATAATAAGAGCTAGATGGGGGGTTACTCGTTATTGATTAGGACCTTTTGCTTAAAAAATCTTGTTTAAATCAGTTTAAATTAGCATATAAGTTTGGAGTAAAATGACCTAATTTATCTAACATTTAGCATTTATTTTTTTTGCAATTTTCTCCGCACCAAATTTTAAAATTGTTCATTAAACATTATAAAAATAAACTCTGTTTCATAATAAATGACATGATTGACCAGAATTTATTAAAAAAAAAACAAAAATTAGAAAATTCCAAAATATTCGATATTTTTATCCATGAGTGTATAAGGAAGTATCAAGAGAAATCAGAAAAGACTTAAGAAAATACAAAGATGAAAAAGTCATCAAAACCATTGAGGAAAATAAGAGTATGAAAATAATGAGACGCAAACTCACAAATGGAAATAAACAAATAGTCAAACTCAAGGATAGAAATGGCAACATCACGTCAAACAGAGAACATTTGTTACAAATTGTGAAATCATTCTATGAGACATTATAAAGCAACCAATCGACTCTAGACATAGTCGAATATCAAGAGAGGAAGGTTCAAAATCAGGGTTCCGAAGATATTCCAGAAATCTCCTTGTGCGAAACTTACAAGGCCCTAAAAAAGATGAAGAATAACAAAGCTTCGGGGGAGGACGGTGTTGTCACGGAAGCGATAAAGATAGGAGGCTCAGTACTGATAGCCAAAATTCAAAAGCTCTTTAATCTATGCCTATGGAATCAAAATATCCCAACAAAGTGGAATAATTCATTAACTGTACTCTTACACAAGAAGGGAGATATAGCAGACCTGGAAAGATACAGACCAATCAGTCTCCTTAACCATCTTTATAAATTATACACCCGAATAATAACGAATAGATTAGAGACAAAGCTGGATTAATAAAATCTGGAATAATAGAAAAAACTAACGAATATAACCGTCCCTTGGTATTGATATTTGTAGACTTTAAAAAGGCGTTTGATACAGTGGAACTACCGTCCATCTTAAGAGCACTACAACATTGCAGGATCGACCACAGATATTGTAATATAATTAAAAATATATATGAAAATGCCACAACAACCATAAGTCTATATTCTGCAACTAATAAAATAAAAATAAAAAGGGGAGTTAGGCAAGAAGATACCATGTCACCAAAGCTGTTGATTACCGTTCTTGAGTATGCATTTAAAAGACTAACATGGCAACAGAAAGGAATATCCATCGATGGAGAAAGATTAAACCATCTACGTTTTGCGGACGATATCGTGCTTCTGTCAGATAATCTGGGAGAGATCAAAGACATGCTCCAAGAACTGAATGACATACTACAAGAAACTGGGCTGGAGATAAATTTCGAGAAAACCAAAATGATGACCAATATGGTTCCCAGCGAAGTGATACAGATCAATAACAACAAGGTAGAATTAATCGATAAATACACATACATTACGATTAGAGCCATTTTTAAATTCATTTCAAATGCCCAGGACATAAAGAAAATCCGATAGGGATTTTTATAGGATGTATAATATTATAGTTCACCACTACCCAGAAAGAATCCATTTATTCACATTTGGAAAAAATAATAATTTATATTATTGTACTTGACTAAGCCATTTATAAAAAAGTTTGTGTACTCTCTTAAAGAAGTATAAATTTAATTAGGTTATTTTTTCAAATAGTAGTTGCTCTTGTCAGACATATGATTTGTCGTTCGAAATTCTAAAATGCAAGTGTTTGATATCAACTTAATAATGAGATTTTAATAATATACTTAGACGATTAAAAATGTAATAGTACTCGATCTTGATTAATAATTAAGATATACATAAGGGAAAATAAATAACAGTTGTATTACATTCTAAACATTTTATTACAATTTTTTCTTATCGTATATATTGTTTGTATCATTGCCTTTAGAATTTCGGATCATTTCTGCAAATAAGCTGTTTTCGTTATTTAATAACACGTTAGGTTCATCAAACTCTATAACTTGACCTCTATCTAAAACCAAAACTTTATCACATTCGAGTATGGCATCTAACCTATGAGCTATTATTAGAATGGTGCAAGCAGAAAAGTTGTCATCAATAATTTTTTGAGCAGTTTTTTCTGTTTCAGGGTCCATGTTGGCTGTTGCTTCGTCTAAAACAACAATTTTATTCCTTTTTATGATAGCTCTTGCTAAACAGATCAGTTGTCTTTGGCCCGTACTAAAATTTAAATCTGCAACTTGAGCTTGAAGATGGGGTACAGCATTATTGAGTTGTACCTTGTGTAACGTTTGCCAAATATCTTCATCTGTGAATTGTTCTAAGGGATCTATGTTACTTCTTACAGTTCCCAAAAACATTATGGGATCTTGAGGAATAATAGATATCTGTTGTCTAAGGAAAGATAATGATAAAGTTTTGATTTCTGTACCATCGATGTATATTTGGCCTTCATAGTTATATAGCCTAAAATTGAAAAAAAAAACTTAAAAGATAAAGAAAAAAATATAACAAACTCTTATATTAAATAAAAATAATAAAAGACAATAAAATTTTCATTTTTATTCAAGATGGTAATGGACAAAATTTTCTGTTGAATCTTCCAAATTTGAAGTTTTCATGACATATTTGTTTAATCGTTTTATGATATGAATGATATTTGCTATGTTTAGAAAAAGATAAAAATGTCGTATCGATCGAGTTAATTGTTATAGTAAAGTACATTCGTTTAACAAATTCCCAACTGCAAACCAACGTACGTGTTGATATTCGCCCTCTCATTCTTCAAGAGGCTATTAAATATAATTTGTTGCATTAAACCAGACGGATTCTCATTTTACAGGTCAAAACTTGTCAGTCTGTTTAAATTCAAATTGTAGCGTGTTGGTTTTATAAGTTTATATATTGTGTGTTATATGTTATAGTTATTGTTAAGTTATTTACTGGTCGTCTTATTTTTTAGAATTTAGTTTAAGTGTTACGTATTAAGTTTTATAGTGTGTAGTGAACTTTTAGTATCCAAAAACCAAGTATTTGTTAATCAAAAGTAAAAATAGCTTGAGGTAATCACTTTAAGAAAGGTAAGAAAAACCAATATTTTAATTTATTAATGTTTAGAAAAGTTTAGTTTCCTTTTTAGTCCATTTATTTACGGTTTTTGCTGTAAATATTTAAGATCCGCTTGGATTGACATGAAATTTGGCATATACATAGCTAACGGCAAAGAAAAAAGTGATATTGTGCCGATGTGTGTTTTTGCCATGGGAGTGAGTTTTGCCCCTTCTCGGGTGTAAAAAAACATGCGTTCAAAATAAGTCCAGAATTGAATAAACTGACTAATTCTAAGCAACTTTTATTTTATACAGTTTTTGCACAAAGTCAATGCTTATCGAGTTATTTGCGAGTGAATATGATCATTTTCAATAAAAAAACACTAGCACATTAGCTACAAATGTGGTTCTGGCCTCATACGTACACCATTTTTTATACATACACTATTTTATAAGTTATATTTTTGCTAAGAATATTTTTTTGATAAAATACTTACTTTTTGAGTTATTAGCAAAAACCGTCTAAAAACCTGGTTTTTGTTGTTGAAAAATGAACATATTCACTCGCAAATAATTCGACTCGGTGAAAAAAGTATTGACTCGGTGAAAAAACTCTATAGAGCAAAGGTTTTTTAGAATTAGTCAGTTTATCTAATTCCTGACTTATTTTGAAAGTATGTTTTTTCACCCCTGAGAAGCTGCTCTCAGATGCCGCCTTTAAAGTTTTTCAGCACGCGATCGCCATGTTTTAGAAGGAAACACAGAACACAGACTCGGATTGAGACTCACATTTGGTGTAATGGGTCTTTATCGACATATGATTTGTGAGGTTCTGTAATTGTTTATATTTATGTTTAATTATATTATATTTAATTATTCACAAGGAATCTACGTTCCTGTAGTTGGCTGTATACCATATATTAAAAAATTTATTAAAAATCCTTTGTAAAAGGTATATTAGGCCCAAACAGGCTAAGTTAAAAAGACAAAACGTTTTCGGAATCCATATTCCGTCTTCAGTGTCTAAGAGTACATGAATGTAGCCACTAAATACATGGGTAAAAACCCGTTAACAAATCCGTACCTCGGAGGTAAAGGAAACTATGTCCATTTTCTTACTTTTTATGGAGAGCAGTTTTAAAATTTTTTAAATTTGTAATCAGTAAATACTCTGATATTTCTGATATTTAACCAAAATTAATATATTATATTAATTGGTAATGAAGATCCGGTTTTGCCTAACTTCAAAATAACTAAGTTTTTGAAATTATTGAAAGAAATAAATTTTAAGTTTTAACATCGTCAGCGAAACAGGATTTTGATGGACAGGGACGAAATTGTCTTGTGGAGACGAGAATATCTGATAAAAATTTAGTCCTACAGAAATAAAAACCGCAAAATTTACTACTTGACTAGGCGAGACTTGGTTAAACGCTGGTCACACCAAATCTAAAGTACGGGACGACAATTCGGTAATGTCTTATAAACAAGCGTTTTTAGACGGACTTCAGGTAAATGTTTATGTGCTTTTTTACTTCAAGTAAATTTTAAAATAAAAAAATTTTCAGGAAAAGTAAAAAGACTAGTAATTTGTCACATTGGCAGTGAAGATGGGTTTGTTCCAGAAGGGCTGTGTATGTTTAAATAAATAAAAAGTAGGGACTTTTCAAAATTGGTTCAAAAATATACTGCCCTGATTAACTCCATCATCGTATTAGACAACGCGTCTTATTATTCCAGAAAATTGGAAAAAATTCCAACTGACATCCAAGCGTGGCTGAAATTAAAAAATATGGGTTTTGAGGACTCCATGTTAAAATTGCAACTGCTGGCTATAGTTAAGGAACATAAGGGACAATATAAGAACTATATCATTGATGAGATGGCAAAAAGATACCATTGTGAGCTCAATGCTTCATCTGGGCAGAAGTAAAAAAGTCTGTAGCAACCAAAAACCACTAGTTTTAAATTTGCAGATATGAAAAATATTTTTTATGGTGCAATAAATAATATTGTGCAATATGTTCAACAAAAAGTCGAGTCCAAAATGTGGAAATTGTCCATAATAATAAATCCAGACGAAGATAGCAGCACATGTAGCTCCTCAGACTCTAGAGTAATTTAAATGGTATGTTTTTATACTTTGATAAACTTATTACAATGCTACTTTATTCAAAATGTTTACTTTGTTATGTACCTCTCAGTTAATGAATATTTTATTTTAGCACATTTTTCTTCAACAGAACATTAAATTTTGCTCACAATGATTAAATTTCAAGAAATTCTTACACTAATAGTTTTAAATGTAAATATTTTTAAAAATCATATGATACACCTCAGTACGACCCCGTTTGACTTTCACGTACGTTCGTTTACAGTTGCGAATTTGTAAAATGAATGTAGTTTAGTAGATATACAAGGCCTTATAGACTTCCGACCAGGAAATGATCAAGGTCAAGTCTGCCTATTATATTTAAAAAAACGGCATGCCGACTCCAGACCAAAGTGGATAAAAATATGCCCACTAAATTGACATTACATGTGACAATAATGTATCTAATTTTAACATTTACTTCGTGCATAAAATCACGTGTGCGAAAATATCTTCCTGGAGTTTGTAAGTTTAAAAATTCGAGATATTATATATGTAAAATGTGTAAAAACAAAGAACATGTTTGGATTTAGCCTTGTTTGAAAGAGTCGTTTACTAAAGAATCAAGTTTTTAACTATAATGATAATAAGAAACTATAGTTATTAAAAAAAACCGCTATTATTGTTTATTTAGACAAAATGTGGATTTTAGCTAAGGATGGAATAAAACGTAACAAAACTATTCTCCAGAGGATAATAAATGGCAAAGAAATTATTAAAACCGTAAAGATTAGAAAATTTGCTTACTTCGGCCACATTATGCGTAATAGTAAATACCGACTTCTATAGTTGATTCTACAAGGCAAGATTGATGGCAAGAAAAGCCCTGGATGAAGACGTATATCCTGACTGGTCAATCTTAGGAAATGGACTGGTCTAACGTCAATTGATCTATTTCGAGATGTTATGAATAGAATAAGATGGGTCAATGTGGTCAACAACATCACTAGAAGATAGGCACCTTTAGAAGAAGGAATAAACGAATTTCGCAGGGCGAGGTATAAAATCCATAAAACATACCGTTTCTGAGAGAAAGAGATGTTTTTAGTGCATGCGGGTGGAAAATATGATCTTATTGATGGAGCAGATCTTGTGTTTTCCTAAAACTCAAAATCGGCTAAATATATGGATACAGAGATGTTTATGAAATGGTTGAAAGATAAACTGCTTTCAGGTTTACATGAACCATCTGTTATAGTTTTGGATAATCCCTAATAACATTCGGAAATTTTAAATAAGGAATCCACAAATTCCTGGATAATAAATAAAATAAAAGAATGGTTAACTGAAGAAAATATTTAATTTCCTCAGGATTGTTTTAAGTCGGAATTACTACAGGTAGCCATAAATAACGAAAAATCAAAAATGGTTATAGGCGAGATAGTTTGGGGACATATTGTGTTAAGACTACCCGCTTACCATTGTGAATTAAATCCCATTGAACACGTTTGGGGAATATGCAAAACTTATTACTATAACTATATTGGACGTAAATGTTACAGTGGCGCAGCAGTTTTGGAAACATGGCAAGAAGCGTTGAATACTGGTACTCCTGCAATTTGGGAAAAAGTGTGCGAAAATGTGAAAAGTTAATTAAAAAATGTTGGATGCATGAAAATTGCATCGAAGCAATTAACCCAGTCATCATTTATAGTCTAAATGAAGATACCAACGGCAGTAATTGTATGTATCTAGTTCTTGATTGTACTGTAAGGTAATATGTTTTCATTTTCTCATTAGGAAAAATTTTAGAAACAGTATAATTTGGAATTTTCTTCTACTTATACAGTAATAATTGCATAATTCTTCAAATAAATGTAAAATAAATTATCGGTTAAAACCGTATTTTTACTTGTCTTCGGCAGTGTCTATTGGGAGAATTTTCTATTAACTTTCTCAGCAGAGCGTACCGTTTAATTCAAAAAAGATTTCATCTGTTATCCAAAATAGGTGCAAATCGTGAAATATACTGTAAATAATAATTTGCCATATTTTACGTATGTATTCAAAAAATGAGACCTGCTCCCCATTCGTCCGACATTTGTTTACTGTTTTATATATCGCAAAGCAACTTATTAAAGGCAATAACTAAACCTTGGCCACCTGAGTTAAAAAGCTCTGCTACCAATTGAATCTTCTTCAGAGACTTTATTTTTTATCCTCATTATTTTTCCGTGCGCCTCCTTCAACCTACACTATGCTACCAATAGACCTTATAAATAAGTAAATTCACAGCCACACCTTATTATATTTTTTTTGATGACTATAATACATCAGATGCATGACTGCTATATGCAAACATGTGACTGTATATCCAACGGCCCAAGTCATAAAAAACTGTTGAACATAGATAAACACAATAACAGTGTGCTAATTAACTAGGTATTGGTGAACCTTCATTCTGATACCTTGTGTTTCTATTGCTGTTGCCAAAAAATCGCAATGTTGTGTGAACTAAATCATCCTACGACATGTATTTATATTAAAACGTCTATTTGTACTAGTTTCATGTGCATACATATAATACTCAATGATTATTTAAGATTTTTTCGCTATAGATTCAATGAACAATCGTTCAAAAAGAGTTCTTGTAGATTTTGGTAAAGTAATTTGGAAACAAATTAACCGCCCTACTTCTTAAACGATCTCGAGTATTTGGTTCTATTTCGTTTTTTTACTGGGCACCTTTTTTATGTGGTCCATTTATTTCTTTTATTTGATTGTTTTCTATATATGTCTTTTTGTTTTGTTTTGAAATTGGATTAAAGGTTAACAGAATGATTGTTATTTTCTGTTTATATCCTCCTGAGACCTGATGTCCAATTAAATGGACATTTACGTATTATATATTTTTTTCGCAAGAACTAAATTTAGACCGCCTAGTCCCACAGTCCATCGTAGTGTACATATTAGTGAACCTGACAACAGCGCGCTGTATTGATGAGACCACATTTTAATTTAGTTAACCTCTTAATCGCAAGTGATAAACATGGCGAGCAGTTCTAGAAAAACAATTGATGGTAAGTAGCTAATTTTATTAGATTATTAACCTAAATGTTGCTTAGTCTAATAACATACGATATTATAAATATATTAATGTGATTTAATTGTCTTAGCAAACCATTTTGAGTTTGTTTTTATCTAAAATAGGGACGTTCATTTCTATGGACGTCAGGTCTATAGACATACATAAAATATTATGTATTATTGTGCATGAAACGTCAATAAATTAATTTAAAACTACAATTGTAGCTTTAATTCCCACATAAAATAGTAAATTATATAAAATATTATATTAGACTTTTTTGTTTCAGCTGTCTTTGGTAACAAAAAATTTTTAAGACCCGAAGTAGACCATGAAAGACTTCTTGAATGTCTGGAAAGTTCGGATATAGACGTTTCAGATTCTGAAAACTATGATGACGACCTTGATCCAAATGAAGAATTGTCTCAGCAATCAGATTTGGCTCAATTTGGCTCAGATGATGAACAAGACACAGAAATACCATCCGAAGATGAATTAGATAACGTGCCACTCAACGAACGAAAGAAAAAGCTTGAGAACCAAAATACATGGAATAAAATGGGTGTTTTTGTCCCTCAGCATGTAGATTTTATTGGAATTGTCGATACAGTCCACGAGAGGCAAAATTGGAAAGTTGAAAACTACGTCGGTATGTATTTTGATGATTCAGATTTTGAGAATATTTGTAATTGTACGAATATTAAATTTTTGCAAGAAAAAGGAAAAGCTTTGAACGTTACTCTAACTGAGGTGAAAAAATTTTTTGGAATATCTATCCTAATGTCCTGTCTAAAGTATCCACAAATTAGAATGTGATGGCCAAGACAACAAGAGTCAACAGTATTGCACAAGCCATGACACGTGATAGATATTTTCAAATCAGAAGCAATTTAAAAGTAGTTATTGACGCTGATGTGCCTCAAGATCAAAGAAATGCTGACAAATTATTTAAGATCCGGCCTTTGATTGAAAGAATACGAAGAGGTTGCTTAACACTTCCAAGATACAGTGAGGTTGCTGTGGACGAACAAATGATACCTTTTACGGGAGTGTGTAACATGAAACAATTTGTTCGAGGTACACCTAATCCAGAAGGATTAAAAAATTTTGTCTGCGCCACTCCCAAAGGATTAATATTAGACTTCGATATTTATCAAGGGAAAAATACATTTCTGCAGAATGATGATGATGTTAAGAAGTTAGGTGTTGGTCCATCTGCAGTAATTAAGTTATCTACAACATTATCAGAAGGAACACATGTTTTCATTGATAGATATTTCACCACCTTACCTTTACTTGAGTACATGTTAAACAAAAATATTTTTTTAACTGGTACAATAATGAGATCCAGAATACCCAAAGCAGTTCATGTAACATCAGATAAGGTGATGAGTCGATTAGGTCGTGGTTCTTCTGAGCAAGATGTAAGATCTGATGGAAAAATTAACATAGTCCAATGGTATGACATGAAATCAGTTATGCTAGCGTCAACTGCGTTGCAAATAGAACCTTCAGATGAATGTAAGCGATGGTCAAAAAAGAACTCCCGATATGTTGAGGTACCTAGACCAAACATTGTTAAAAAGTACAACGAATCCATGGGGGGAATAGATTTAATTGACAGGATGGTCAGTTATTATCGAATGGGAGCTAGAAGTAAGAAATGGACAGTAAAAACCATTTTTCACTTATTTGATCTTGCGATTGCCAATTCTTGGATTCTGTACAGAGATGACTATAAGCAACTGGGTGATGCTAATAAAACCGTTATGCAGTTCCTGGAGTTTAAAATAGATGTTTCTGAGTTGCTCCTTAAAGATAACATTTCTGAAAATTCTGATTTTGAGAACATTTCAACACTGGTAACTAGAAACAGTTACAAACCTAAAACATCACTTCAAACGCCTACTAAGAGAAAGATACAACACATTCCTGCAATAGCATCCGAGTTAAAAAATTCTGTTAGATGTAAGCTTCCAGATTGTAAGGGTAAAAAAAAAGTTTATTGTGAATCATGTGACATATTTTTATGTTTAACGGGAAATAATAATTGCTTTAAACAATTTCATTTACAATAAGTTTGTATTGATGCGATCCTGATGTCCTTTTAAATGGACATGTTTTTTTTCACATTCAGCAAAAAAATAAAAATTCAGAAAAATTTACATGTGTTTTTATACTAAACATCAAACAAATTCTATTATTTAATCAAAAAAAAACAAAAAAGATCAGGTCAGGTCTCAGGAGGATATACAATAAATCTAAATAGTACAATGAAATACTTTGGTTTGCAACTTATACAGTCTATAGCAAAGTAATACTCGAATTAAATATGTAGTTAGAGGAGATTTTCTGGAACTAAAAGGACCTTATCGTCACATTTAAATACAATAACATTTTTCATATTCAGTATTATAAATATATACTGGAATTTAATTAAAATTTGTTTGGTAATTTATCAATAAAAAGAAATATCTAAATATTAGATTAGTAATGTTTTTGTCACTAAAAAATCTTATAAAATATCGGTGGATTTCGCTAAGTATCGATAAACTTACCTATACAGCGTAGAAATAATAGAAGATTTACCGGCTCCAGTTCTTCCAACTATGCCAATTTTAGTACCCGGTCTTACTGTAAAGGAAATATCTTTCAAGACATTCTCGTGCGAATTGGTGTATTTTAATGATACTCGTTCGTACACTATTTCCCCTTTACTTGGCCAATTACTAACTTCAATTCCAGTATTCCTTTCTGATTCGACCTGTGTATACTCCATAACTCTTTCAACGGAGGTCATTTGATTTTCTAACTCAGACCAAGTCATTAATCCTGTGTTGATAATTGATGTCAATACTCCAGCTTGGGTTAATGTTAATCCTACATCTCCAGCAAAAGATCCTGTAAGACATTAAATCCGAGAATAATATTTTACATAAATATTTCTTGTTTTTATTAACAAAAGCTCTATTGAAACCAACAGCCTAGATGAGTGAGACTAGGCTGTGTACATTCACCATTACTATTTAATATATATACTCCGAAGAGCTATTTAAACAAGCACTTGAAAACTGTACAGAAAGGATCAAGATAAATGACGAAAATAAATAACATTCGTTATGCCGACGATAGAGCCATTATCGGAGGAAGACCTACAGACGGTACTAAATATAATTTGTGATACTGGCCACTGAGGAACAGTTATGTTTAACAATAAACATAAAGAAAACAAAAACTATGGTTATCAGTAGAAGGAGTAAAGTCATAACAAGGATCCAGATAAAAAATGAACATATTGAACAAGTGGACAAAAGGAAATATTAAAGGAGTCTAGATTACTAAAGGTTTAGATCCGAGATCAGAAATTCGAACAAGAATATAGCAAACTAGAGCCTTTTTGAAGATGAGGAAATTTCTGAGTAGCCAAAGGCTCGATCTGCAAATCCGATATCGGATGGTAAATTGTTTTCCTGGTAAATGGCTTTGGCAGAGCCAATTAGCCAAACTAGTTTTTGTTTATTTTTAAAGTCGACTGAATTTGAAATATTATTGATTGCAGAATTATAGTCAAAATTATCTTATTATCAGATTGTTAGTACTACATATACCTAATATTATTTTTGTAGATATATAAATTTTGTTTTGTTTTTTTATGGTAAAATTTTATATCCACTCATTCTTTCTTATGGCATCGAAGCTTGGATTGTTAATGTTGACTTAGCTTAGTTAAGTTGAGAAAGCTAGAAACTTTTGAGATGTAGCTTTTTAGGAGAATCATTATCTTGCATCCACGCAGTTAACATATTCTGTATGTACCAATTGTTGGGTTTCTTTATGACGTAGCTTTCCGTACACTACTTCAACATATTTCAGCATAGCTCAGATATAACTCGATTAGTGAACCCTACACCATTATCTTAATGTAACGGTGGGAGCACCAAATGGTGGTGATAAGCTACTTCTTCCGCTCTCTTGATTTTCAATAGTCGTAGCTGAACAAGCTTCACAACAAGCTATCATTTTTTTCATACCAATGCCTTTTTTCGGAGCACTATGTTTTATTTGACACTGTTTACACAAATTTAAATATAAGACTACAACTTGTAATTCTTTAAACATTCGTGTTCTTCCTTCGTGGCATGTTTTTATGTGAGTTTCGAAAAGTATATCAAACAACTCTTTTATAGTAGCGATTGATCACAAATAATATAATGCCTAATATAAAGTCACAGCACGTGCTTCTAAACCTTGCATAAGACTAACTAGGGGCAGAGGCAACAAGAAATAAAACACGCCCCCACAAACTATCAAAAATCAGTTACAATCGGTTATTTCCGACATTCGCCGAAACTCATTTGCATTTGTCGACATACACCGGTGATACTCTGAAACTATAACATTATAAATGTTCGATCTTTCACAACGGCATTGAGGGTGTATTTACATTCACCGGTGAATGTCGACACACACCAATTTCGGACATTCACAGTAACATATATATCTAAGATATGAGGTACCTATATTAACCAACCAGTTACTACTGCATTTATAGTATACACTTACCATTGTCAAGGAATAAAAATCGTATAACAACTGTAGTTACAAATAGAAGGGCAGAAAAGTTCATAATAAATGAGAACGCAGCTTTAGTACACACTGAAGTGTAGAACGCACTGGTATACAAGTCCTGATGTTTGTCGAACTCAATTTTTAATATTTCTTGTGCTTTGTAAGCTCTTATTGTCGTCAAACCTTCCATAGTTGAGTTCAGATGCCCCACAATTGGACTTCTTGCTAAAAATTGCTTAGTTGAGTATAATAATATAATAAATAAGTTTTATTTGTTTTTATTTATACAGTGATATAGGAAAAGTAAATCTATAATTTAATGTATTTTACAGATTTTTCATTATCAAAACAACTTGAAATAAAGTTCATAAACATTAAAATTTTAATGTTTTAAATTTAAACTTAACACATTTTTAAATTTAGACATCAGCTTTAAACATACCAGTATATAGGTATACACTGTGTCCGTGAAGTATGGAACAAATTCTTTTTTAGCTAAATTTTAAGAAATAATCCTGAAACACGTCGATTTTTGATTTTAATTTACCGTATTTTCTATATATTCTAATATATTCGTATATATTCTAATATACAGGGTGAATTACTTTCGAGACGTCACCGTCATTTTTTTTTAATGGAATACCCCATTTTGTCTCAATTTTCGGTTTACTTTAGCTGAGCTGATTCCAAAAAAGTATCACATGTTGTAACCTCGGAAACTTTTTTGGATGGTGCTAGAAAGGTCACCAATGGAGACACTACGGACGGCAGCCAGATGGTTGGTGGAGAGCGAGTCGTGGGTTCGAAACTAGCTTTTGGAACCGGGAATGGGTCCAACGGACGAAATAAGTAAAGATAGAACAAGATAAGATATATTAGAAAAGATACAGAAATAAACAAAAAGATAGATGAGTAAAATTACCGAAGATACGATAAGATAGAAACAGGGCGCAACTCAATTTTTTGAGGTTTAAGGAGAAAATTAAGAAACCTTAGAAAAGAAAATTTCTGCGAAATTTTCGTAGAAAATTTTCTACGAAACTTATTCATCCTGATCTTTCTGCTGGTCAAAGGTATAGTAATAGTTTAATATATTAAGCAAATATTCAGATGTATTTTTATATCAGAAAACTTTGTTAGGAGTCGACAAATAAAATGCATACATAAAACAAAACAATATATTCAACAACAATGATGACGCGGCTGAATGCAATAGAAGTAATAAAAAATACACCATCAATTACGAAATGGTGGTATACATATAAAAATAAGCAGTAATATAGTTAGAAAATACCTTTACATATATATATATATATATATATATATATATATATATACATATACATATATATAATACAATTACAGCAAATAACAAAAATTAATCAAATCTAAATTTACAAGAATACAAAAAAGGTTACAGAAACAAAAATTTGACCAACCCGAACTGGTCATAGTTAATTATCTATCTCGCACTGTTATTTAAAGATTGAGAACTAAATATTCGTAATTATTAATTATTGACATTTCTTAGTAGCTGATGGAAAGTTCGTAAGAAAATATTGAATGTTCTTTAAATTGAATACAAAATTCAGTAGTTACTCTCAACTACACGTGAAGAAATGAATGACTTTTAGATTCGTCCAGATAATGGAAGATGATATGATACCATACCATATTACTCGCCCAGATAATTGTAGATAATGATTATGATAACTTACAGTAAATTTTGATGATTGCTGCAATAATTCACTGAAGCACTTAAAATGAAAAATGCACAGAGAACGGTACGATAATAGAGACGATAAGATATGGCGAAGCGGCCCACGAGAATTAAGTCTTCTCTCAACAACGGCCACTCAGAAGTAAATTGGTTCCTCTAAAATTTTACCAAAGTACCAAAGAAAGGTGGGATATCTCACACTCAAAAATGATCGGACAGTTGTATGTATTTCTGAGAAGGTAAGATTCTAACGAGCATCTAAATTAAAAAGTCACCAATGACAAAGTACTGCGGAGGATGAACACAACCGCGGATTTGGTCAACATTGTGAAGAGCCGTATGCTGGAGTACTTGGGACATATAATGAGAAATCAAGGCAGATACGAGCTACTCCAATGCATTTTGCAGGGTAAAATTGAAGGAAAAAGAGCCCCAGGACGAAGAAGAATATCCTGGCTTGCTAACCTGAGAGCATGGAATAGAAAGACCTCAACACAGCTATTTCGTATAGCAACGAATAAAATCATTATAGCCTGAATGATCGCCAACGTTCGGAATGGACAGGCACCCTAAGAAGAAGATCTAAATTAACGATCCACTTCTAGCTACAAACGTGATGAAATATAAATCTTCTAGATTATGTCTTTCCCAAAAAACATTACAACGTGCGTTCGACGACTATTACCGAATTTATGAAAAAGAACCCGAAAAAGGATTAACTAAGAATTAGCCAAACCGGCGTCTTTAAATAAATAGGTAGGTAGATTCTTCCGACACCTTTCGATAGTTTCCCAATAAAAATTCTTAATCGTACACACGATCACCGGCGTATCATCCACATGGGTAAAGGGAATTAAAAATAATTTAATATATTAAATATAAAAAAAAATGTTACAATGTTGATTCAAATTGGGACATGATGGACAATAATACAATACGTTTGTGTGTGTTCATAAAGTAACGCGTTAGTTAAATTAACAATATTATCAAAAATACTTATTGTCTAGCGGACAGAATATGATGAAATATGAAATACGTGACTATATAAACTGCAGCCCTTGCTGTATTTGACAGTAACCCAAACGTTGTACAAATTCTTGTTGAACCTTGTTTATTGTGTCTTGAGAAATATTGTTTATTGCTATCCGAATTTTCTGTTGTAATTCTTGAATATTTGCTGGTTTCGTTTGATACACAACATTCTTCAGATGGCCCCACATAAAATAATCCAAAGGATTGATATCCGGTGACCTCGCTGGCCATTCAATAGGTCCACGTCTACCAAAACAACTATTCGGAAAAATTTCATTTAGGTATCTTCTAACATCTACAGCATAATGTGGAGATGCACCATCCTATTGCAACCATAAACTTTCATCAAAACCTTCATGTTTACGTCTGCTGGGAAACAAATTACGTAAAGTAGGTACTAGATACCCCCTTAAAAACTCAAGGTACGTTGCGCCGTTTAAATTACCTTCGGTAACGTAGGATCCGATGATTCGATTGCTTACAATTCCAGTCCATACATTTACCTTTTGCGAGTATTGTGCATGATGCTCACGCATCCAGTGGGGGTTTTCTTTTGCCCAGTATCTACAATTCTGACGGTTAACCTCGCCATTTAACGTGAAAGTGGCCTCATCAGAAAAAATAATGTTTTGCACCAAGAGAGGGTCTTGGTGACAGTTATCCATCATTGCTTAGCAAAATTGCATTCTTCTATCGGGATCATCTTCGAATTCATGCACAAGTTTAATTTTATAGGATGCCACTTTTCAAGCTTTAATAGTTTGTACCGTTGTTTTGCTAATACCGATATCGCGACTAACTTTACGCACAGAAGTGTGCGCATCTTCTTCAAAACTAAGTAAAACATCTAATGCTGTATCAGCATTTGCAGAGGGACGACCTGATTTCCGTGCATTTTCAACCGTACCAGTTTCTCGAAATTTCTTTTCAATCTTACTGACTTTGAACACGTTATAGGCCTTTCTGGATATTTATCATTAAATAAATTGCACACTTCAATTGGAGTTCGCGATATATCTCCACACCCAATCATCATAAGTATTTTAATTCTTTGCTTTACACTTAACTCCATTTCTACTTCAAATTAAATCTAAGCAATAATAATTAAAACATTCACAAATACCAAAAATATTGTAATACTAAACTGTCACTGAACATCAATAAATTACTAAACAAATAATGACATTTAACAAAAACATAGCCTACTATGTTTTTTTTTAAATTGATAAGAAATAATTTCTTTTTTTACATTTCATACATTTTTGGAATCAGCTCAGCTAGAGTAATCCGAAAATTGAGACAAAATGGGGGTGCTCTATTAAAAAAAAATGACGGTGACGTCATTACTCGAAAGTAATTGACCCTGTATATTAGAATATTATTTTAAAATACGGTAAATTAAAATCAAAAATCCACGTGTTTCAGGATTATTTCTTAACACAAGAAATACTGGATATTAGTGACTGTCGATGTGAACAAACAACACAGTTTATTACGGTTGCAGTCAGAAAATTGGCTGGGATGTTAAAAAAAACACTATATATATATAATGATATAATGTTGGGGCATTACTTACTAGCAGCTTCAAGACGTTTTAAGCTTCTTGCTGTGCGAATATAGACAAAACGAATGAGTATTGATGTGATAGCCATTACAATCGCCGGCACCATAAACTTCCAGTTTACTGATGCTATTAGTCCAACTATACCTATTAAATGAAAGTAATTCTAAAATAAAAAAAAATAGAATTAATAATCTTTTGCTAATTTATTAACCTTATCTTCAGGAATTATGATTTACTAATAGTCAGAACCAGAGACTCGATCCTCATATGTTATGAATTTTCTATCAAATATTACGGAGATTTTGCTATACTATCTAGTGTATTCAAAAATAGCATATTTGCGTAAATTATTATTTACCTTTTTTATAATTATGTTCTGTGTATTTTTTCTCATGGAGTAATACTCTCTCTTGTTTGCAAACAATTGAAAAGTTTTTTTTCGTGGAAAATTACGGGTAAAGTCCATTTCCATCATATTGATAGCACATTATGTATGCAAATCCCTAAACTATTGATACGGGTGACTAAATGAAAAATAGATATTTGTCAACAAGTTTACAGAAGTATATAGGAAAACAATTTTAAATTGAGTATGACCACCAGGTATAAAGGTTGAAGCAGAATAGAATACAATAGTTTGAGGGTTACTAATCCCTAAATAAAGTTGCCAGTATCGGAGTGATGGAGAAAAACAGATACTAATGAATTTGCAAGAAATGTAAGATATTTATTTTATTGGTTATATATAAAATAATTTGTGGCCTAACAGGGGCCAATTTGTAAAAAAATGAATATTATTTTAATCAAATTCCATTTCAGATTCACTGCTTTCTTCAGAATCTAAGGAATCTTCAACTCCAATGTTAATTATTACCGGTTCCAGCATTGCATCAGTCATATTATCCAAATTTCACATTTTATTTTCTTCCTTGTGAGCATGACTAACAGCATTTTTCCAATTTTCTGGAGTTACTTTTGATAAAGAACGTTCTAATAATTGTTGTAAGTCTAATTTAAAAGTTTTGTTGTTGTGTCCGACTTCACCCTTTACTTGAGACCATATATTTTCTATCGGATTCAGATCACAGTGGTATGGGGGTAAACGTAAAATAATTACATCACGGTTTAATGCCATTTCATCAATTATATATTTTTTATACGCTGCTTTATGTTGCCTTACAATAGGTAATAATTCCGTTTTTGTCGAATTTTTCTTGTACTCAATTGCGTATTTATTCAACCATTTTATTATCTCTTCTTTTTTCCATGCCGTTGTTGGCAATTTTTCTGTTAGTCTTGAATGGTAACTAGCATTATCCATGACTATGACAGAATTTTTTGGAATTAAATCCAACATTTGCTCAAAATATTCTTCAAAAACGTCAGCAGTCATTTCCTCGTGGTAATCGTTGGTTGATTTTACGGCAAAACTTAATAATCCACCATTGACAAAACCGTATTCGTTTCCAATATGGGTTATTATGAATCTGCGTCCTTTTCCAACGGGAATATTGTTCATTCCAATATTGGAAATTCCAATTCATTCCATTCACCTTCGAAGAATGCCTGACGGGAACTTTTCACATTTGTATCAACCCATAGATATGGTACAGTAGGACCTTCATTTAATCAAGTCTCGTCCAAATAAAAAATTGTTTTCCCTTCTTCTCGGTACTTTTTAATAGTTCTTAGATAATCTCGTCTCCAACATACAATGTAATCTTTTTCAATTAAAACGCATTTTCTTCCATTCTTTTGCCAACGAAATCCCATCTCTCTCAATAGTCCCTATAATTTCTTGTTGCTTATGATTGGTAACTCTTCGTTTTCTCTAATTAATGGTTGGATTTTGTTCAATGTTGGAAATTCTTTATGAGTGGACGCTGCGTCTTATCATGTTTTTATGTATTTCTTCAATTTCCAAGAATTTACTCCATCCACTCTTCTTGGGAGATAAAACAGTTCCTTCTTTTCTTTCTTTTAGGAATCTATAAATTGTTGCTTCTCCAACCCCTGTCATATTTGAACATATGTTAACGATTTCACGAACATTACTTAAAGGGCGTTGATGTACAAGTGCATCGTGTACATTTAATATTATATTTTTCTCTCTTAGACTGAAGGCACCTTTAAAACTATACTTAACCAGGATAAAACCTGTTGTCGACGTCATTTTTAAATGCAAATAACAAAATATCGACACCAAAAACGTAGATAGGTAAGACATGAACAATGTACATCTACAAACTAAATGGGAGATGCAAACAATTTCTAATTTATATTATTGGCATAAGCTGTAATGTGGCATAAAAACTACTTAAACTATCATTAGTGAAGCCTTATCAGTAATACCAGGTAATCGTTCAAAGAAGGTATTCTTTTTGTGTCAGGCGTTTTTTACGCACAAAAAAGGTATAGTGAGATTAGTAGACACTTATTTTACAGAAGATTTTTTAAAAGATAATGAATTGTTGACGGCATCTTAAAATATTGTTTTTTTTTATTTATTTCAAAACAAGTATAGGGCGACGCCTATGGTTTTTTGACCTGTTGACCTGTTGAGGATTTGCATACATAATTTGCTATCAATATGATGGAAAAGGACTATAGACACTTACTCTTAGACACTCAATATTGATACAATGGCTTTAAAAATATATAACCTTAGAGTATTGGTCACTGAATTTTCATAAACACGGGTATCAAAACGACAATCAGTACGTCTCTGAGATTTCTTGAATATAACAAAAAAGGTTACAAACAATTTTTCTCATTTTTAGCAAGTGAAAATACTGTATTATGCGCTATAAACCATTTCACCAAAGAATATAGACGCATATGCGTCTATAGCCTTTGGCTTCACGTTAAGAACGGAATGTTCAACTTTGCGTAGATAGCGCTACGTATTTCCTATGGAAGATAGAAGCGCGTCGATGCCACGACGAGCACGATCCAGGGTTGTATTTGTATTTTCTTTTCCACGAAAATGAAATAAAATGAATGTTTGCTAACGTAACTGACCAAAAGTACCCATCGGACAAAGGAAATAAAAAGTAGGGAAAATCTTCGAACCTCGTACATCTAATGATAACAAGGCTTTGTGGATTTTTAGTAGATATTTTGACCTCACTGTTCATTGAACATTTGAAATTCGAGGGAATGTCTTAGACATTCGTGCAAAACAAATTATTTTAAATATATTTAATTATCATTTACACGTAAAGAGTGATGAAAGTGTTATAAGTCAATTCGATAAAGTACTATGACGAAAAAAGGTTCTAGTACTATTTCGAAAATACGCAAAGAAGCTGCGGAAGGAGGACTAAAGCCCGCAAAAAAAAAACAAGAAAACGTATCAAAAGTGGATTGAACCGCAGAAAGTTCACTTACGACCCACTAGTTTATACAGGGCTCCACAGGATAGTGCACAGTTTGTTCTTAAAAAAATTACCGCCAACATTAAACAAAGTTTTTAAAATGGTTAAAGCAGACAAAGATTTAACAAACATGTCAGGCACAACAATGTGAAAAATACATGTTTTTTTTTTTAATTGGCATCACAGTTTCTTTTTACAATTCGTAATACAAAAATTACTTTAATAAATTGTCTGACAATATTTATAACATCAAAGAAAAAAAATGTCTTAAAGAAAATTGTCCATTAACAATTTCCTCTGTATTCATGCCACTAGAATAGTGTCACGTATGTTTTAGGGTTTGGTTGGGTTCCTGCTTCTAGATTATATTGGGCTTTTGCAACTAGTTTATAGTTAACAGGTGGGCTGGGGTCTTTTGTTTAAGCCTTCGTCCGATTGGTTGTGCCAATAAATTTTGAACTAGATTATTGGGGTGGTCTGTTAGTCTCTGATCATGTCGTTGGCAGAATTTGATGATACGTGCGATCGTCTTATTTAAAATGTACCATGGAGCATTAATTATCATTCGGAGGACTTTCGACTGGAATCTTTCAAGAATGTCAATATTAGATCTAGCTGCTGTTCCCCTTAGCTGAATTCCATAGCTCCAAATATGTTTTAAAATAAGTTTATATGTTAAAATTTTGTTGTCGATCCAGTTTTGACTTCCGTTCTATTAACCAATATAGCTTACTGAGTTTAAGCCCAGCTATTTTTGCTTGGTAAATATATGTTTTCTCCATGTAAGCCTGCGATCCAAATGCATTTCCTCCCAAGTATTTTATGTCGTCTTTTGTGGCAGTGGTTAACCGTTGAACAATACTGGAAGGCATTTTTCATTGCAGTTTCTAAATGTTACTGGCGCAGATTTTGTCTCGACTATCACGATGAGATGAATGGTCCTATATTTGAACAGTTGTTTGAGAAAAATATGTGTGTATATATAATATGTATATAAAGTGTTTGTACTATCTCTAGAAACACGTGCCTAAGAGTTTTGGCAACACTGATCTGCATATGCCAAACGTTTCGTTTTTAACGTGAAATAAAGTATCGTCATGTCTTATCTAGAATATTATATGTTCAGTTTGGTTCTTTATTAATATTATCAGAGTGATATTGATAAAATTAAAAATATTTTATATAACAAAAAGAGAAATCATACGATTTCTACCTGGCGAAATCGAATTCAAATATAAGCCGCCGTGCTCCCTAAAAGCAAACAGCTTGATGAATGAATCGGCAACGGAGTCTAAAAATTGCACTCCAAATGCCGTTCATCATGGCCTATATTCGTAGTGAATTCGATTTCTGGTACTCCAAATGAAGTAAATAAACAAAACAAAATGACGGTATTAGATTTTGATTTGATACAGAGCAGCAACAAACCGCATATACGTATTTCGATCTCTTTAGATCTCCTTAGTACGGTATTACTACTCCATATCAAACCAAAATATTTTCCCGTTGTAGATTATAGTTATTAAAAATAACTATTTACGGACGTCACTACGCCATCTAAGAACAAAAAGAGAAATCATACGATTTCTACCTAGCGAAATCGAGTTCAAATATAAGCCGCCGTGCTCCCTAAAACTTGCGAAGCAAACAGCTTGGTGAATGAATGGAGTAGTAACTATACCGTACTGAGGAGATCTAAAGAGATCGAAATACGTATATGCGGCTTGTTGCTGCTCTGTATCAAATCAAAATCTAATACCGTCATTTTGTTTTGTATTTTATATAAATTTATTTAATCTTTAGCGTTTACTTGTTTTTATTTAGAGAATATAACTATTCTTTAGCTTTTAAATATGTTCGACGAATTGACTAAAATTAATTTTGCAGTTTCTAGTCATCAAACAATACCGCTATCTTTATTTTAAACTTTACCATATAGACACAAAGGTGCTTATGCTTCATTTATACCATGAAGCTTAAGCAAACCTAATCATTTTTGTTATAAACTGCAACAGTTAACATATTTTTATTAAAAATACATTTTTGCCTACTACCCTTAATGTAATTTAAATCCATGTAGCCTTAATATTATCATATTTTCTTCGCATTTTTGAGCTGTTGAAATGCAGGTACTTACCCCCGCTACGTTTTGAGGGAAACATTTTTTGTCAGTCAGTCAAGGCGCTAACGTTTTTATGACTTGCTCCAAAGTTGTGAGTTTTCCGTGGAGTGTCCGTTTTTGCGTACACATCAAAGGGGTTCGCGCTGATATTGGTGTTGCCGTTGATGCCTCAACCCAATGTGTGGATGCCTCATCGAACAGTTGACCCAACGTTGGCGCCAACGTTGGATCCCATGTGTGGAGCCGGCTTTATAGTGTACCAAGTTATGGTTATTGATTTAATTATTGAACCAGCACTTGGAAAACAGCAAAAGTCTAAATTAAGTTTAGCTTCGGACATATCTTCTATTCGTACCCTAGTTGTGTAATGCTAATGCTGTGTTTGACTCCAAGTTTCAGAATCTTGATTTACTTTTCCGATTTAAACAGTTTCAGGGGCGCCTAATATTGCTTACAGTTAATTGTTACTAAACTAGAAATTATATGTCACTTTAATACTATTTAACATATAGCATCCTATCTATTCCTATTCTATTAATAACTAGTTTTAAACTGAATTTTTATATTTTTAATTCATTAAATTTGGTCTTTTATATTTATGGTTGTTTTTTGTAGTTCTTGTGAAATGGATTCTCCTTAAAAAAAGGAATTAAGAATTGTAATTAAAAATTTTTAATAACAAACAATAATCTGGTTAGGAATAACAAAATTAAATAACACCTACCCCTACAAAAGACGACATAATGATTGGTAAATGTTCGTCTACAACGCCGAAATCCTGAGAAAATCTATTGAGAATATTACCAATAAAAAAGTTGTCGTAGAAGGTCATCGTAGCTTTTAGAACTTTGTTAACCATATTATCGTGCAGACTTATTGAAGCTTTCATTCCTACTTTTAATATAAGGTATCTTTTAATCAACTCCATACCAGCCAAAACGACTGTTGAAATGGTATACAAACTCATGGTGCTCGAAGCAGCTACTTCAAGATAACTAATTTCTTTTATTGCAGTTGATGATACGTTAAAAGTGGCGTTGAGGAAAATGGTCGCAGAATAGTTGGCAACAGTAAGTAGATGATCCATATCTGCAGTCGTATTTTTTATGTAAACTTCCTTTTGGCGAGTAATATAAGCTTTTTGGTTTATCCTAAAAAAAGTAATAAAATAACTAAGGGTAAACAGGTAAATGGTTAGGTGAGTGACGTAAAGCGCATCAAATGGCGGCAGTAATGACGAGATACAATACAAGAAATTAGTAAATTAGATGAAACTGACGTTGGCAATTAAAACGGCAATCTATAACATTAAGAGGAATCGATAAGGCACGTTAAAAAGAGGAAAAATATGAAACTGATTAAACCAGAGTGTCACAGGTCAAATTTAACTACCATGGAACCATCATTTATTCTGGTAAAGAGGAACAAAATAGTAGCAGAAGCTTTGATGCCATTGAAAAATGTAGAAACTCATAGTAATTAATATGTGTCTACCAACAAATAATAAGAATAATTCTTTGACCATGCTGAAAGCTCATAAGTGATTTTACTTACTTTTGCAGTAGATGCGATTTAAAATTCGCCGTGTACCTCCAATTTCGTTTTGTAGCCCACAATTACGTGTTACTTACTTTACTTGGTTTTAATATTGTTATGTTTATACTTATTACATTTAAGTGTTACATACTAATATAGAACATTTCCCACCACCAATGAAATACGTGACTTATGTCATTTGACCCCAAGTCTGGTTCCCAAAATGGTTATAAATATAATATTCTTAAAGAAAGTATCTTTTATTTGTTTTAAATAAACTTAAAAAAAATACATCTTAAAAAAATGATAAACATAACTAGTTTATTCAATATGTTCGTCGATACCTGGATATTCCAGCAACGCTATTTCCCCCAACGGAAGATTTTCATAGAACCCATGGAAAGTTGTAGGGATTAATATTAAGAGCAGCAAATCAAGAAGATTCTTCCGTTTTTTTTTTCTATTTATTGGCTTATTTGCTTATACTTCAATTGGGAAACTAACTTTCTTAACCCATTTCGTCTAATGAAAGAAATTTTCTTAAATAGCTCCCCTGGATTTAAGGATTTGAAAACAAATATTTTCCTATTGTCCTCTTTTCTGTAATTTAGCCATTGCACGTCATACCAGCGAAAAGGTTCTCCTTGATGTCTTTTTTTCTAGACACTAAAGGCCTCTTTAACGAAGAAGCAAAATCGGAAAAATCCTTATCACACATCTCCACTTCTTTAAATTTTAAACTTGTTGATTTGACCAACTGATACCAATCATGATGAACAAAAAATATCTATATTCTTCCTTTTATTTTTTTTGCGATCATGGTGATTTAATGACAATATTGATATAATCATGCTTGAAATAAGCGCATTTTTGGCACAGCATGGGTAACTTCAGGAGGCAATTCTAGAAATACTTTATACAAACATTATCCTACCTCATTGGCCCCTCGTTTTGCAGTACATTTGTACCACTAAAATGGTTTAACTTTCCATTTTCATACACTACAGGTGAGATTGAATGTACATAGCTGTCGCTTGTAAAAAACGACTAAAGATTTTAATAAATGTGTTGGTAGATATTGCTGGAGGTCAAAAGTAAAACACTTCATTTGTGATCTTTTGAGCTAAAAGCTTGTCTTGTTTTTATTCTGATATACCAGTTCTGCAGAGATCATTTGATTTTCCCTTTTCTATTACTGCATATTCTTTCTTTTGTTCCATCACTGTATTTCAGTAGCCTAATAAACTTATCACACTTATGGCAAATATAATTTTGAACCTTTTTAAATGACAGATTTAATTTATGAAATTCCGATGTATAATATGGATATGACACAGGGTTTTGATATGATTCCTTGTAAACGGGTTACGTTGCTTCTAGGGTTAGATGTGATGATAAAACCTTTTTATTTGTTTGAGCTCCAAACTATGCCTCTTCTTTTTAATATAATCTTCTCCAGGTTCTCACGTTTAGCAAATTTTGCGCTTCCGCTGCCACTTCATCCTTCCACCATTTCCTTGAGAAACTGCTTACTCACTTCTAATTTTTCTTCAAACCACTTGTTTGGTGAAATATTTTTTCTTTGAGCAGAATCAGTCTTTGTTTCCCCATGTGATGCTCTTTTTTTTAAGCGACAACTGTTATGAAATTGTCTGTTTCATTAAAAGATACGGCACACACTTACACACACGGGTAGGTTTTGGGGCGAAATGTTTCTTTGTCTGTACGTGGCCTCTACGATGTTTTGTCTAACTGCCTTCTTCTTCTTCTTCTTCTTCTTAGCCTTCTGTCGTCCATGTTTGGACATAGGCCTCTTCCAACTCCTTCCATCGGTCTCTATCCTGAGCAACATATTTCCAATTTGTTTCCTACTATTCTTTTAATGTCATCAACCCATCTCATCTGTGGTCTTCCTCTTGGTCGTTTACTTTCGTAAGGTCTCCAATGTTGTATTGTAGTATTCCAACGTTGGTCTTTCTGTGTAGCAGTGTGGCCCGCGAAGCTCCATTTAAGTTTTGCAATTTTTATTGTTATGTCCTCGACTTTTGTTTTGGATCTTACCCAGTCGTTCTTCTTTTTATCTGACAGTCGTATACCTAAGATTGCTCTTTCCATTGTTCTTTCTGTTGTGGCTAGTTTATTCATGTTTGCCTTGGTTAGGGTCCAGGTTTGACATCCATATGTCATGATAGGAAGGATGCATAGGTTGAACACTTTGCTCCTCAAGTATTGGGGTATTTTGCGGTTCTTATGTATCCAACTAAGTTTTCCAAATCCATATGTCATGATAGGAAGGATGCATAGGTTGAACACTTTGCTCCTCAAGTATTGGGGTATTTTGCGGTTCTTATGTATCCAACTAAGTTTTCCAAATCCTGCCCATGCTAGTCTTGCTCTTCTAGTAATTTCCGCACTTTGGTTCTCTTTGTCAAGTCTCAGGATTTGGCCTAGGTAGATATATTCCTGGATTTGTTCTATCTCACTGCCGTTTATAGTTATATGTCTGGGGTCTTCTGTGTTTGTCATTAGTTTTGTTTTTTTCATATACATTTTTAGGCCGACGTATTGGGAGCTGGCTGCTAGTTCCCCCAACATAATTTGCAGTTCCTCGAATGTGCTCGCTATAATCACTATGTCGTCAGCGAATCTGAGGTGGTTTAACTTGTTGCCATTAACGGTAATGCCATAGGTTGACCAATTTGTAGTTTTGAAGACGTCTTCTAGGGCTAGTTTTGAAAAGCTTTGGCGATATTACGTCTCCTTGTCTCACTCCTCTCTTAATGGGGATGGGATTTGTATTTCGTCTAATCTAACATCCTAGACCCCAATATTTGGAAAAAATTTCTTTCAGCTGACTTTGAGTGAATTTTATTTTGCATTTAGCTTGGCATAGCGGTAGTTTTAAATGATTTTTCTGAAATTATTTTACCATTTTTTTAACATACGTTACAATTGTTTACATGCCTTTTTACGCTCTTAACTCACGCTTTCATGAATATTTTGCGGATCTGCTGTCAAATTGTCCTCTGAACTATACTCATTTGTAGGTTTTACCAGTGAAGTTGAATTTTAATCTAAAATAATAAAATATGCTTACACTAAAGCAATTTTATAGTAATATCACCAACATTCTGAAAATAATATTCCGTCAGTACTGTTCGAATTTTTGTGTTTCCCTGGTTGAACAGACATTGATGGAGAAGTTTATTCTTAAATAGTTATTGGTTTATCCTTAGAGCTTTTAACATATTCTATTACCAGCTTTTCCATCCTTAGAGCTCTGAAATTATTTCGATATACAGCTTCTTAGTTGAACAAATGTTGATGATAATGATAATTATTGGTTCATCCTGAGCGCTTTAAAACTTTTCCAACACACGGTTCTGCTCTGTTACCAAAAACAGCTAGCGTACAATCAGAATTCTGCAAGTTCGGTTATGTAACAATTCAAATTCAAAGTTGATCTCATTATGATTCTAGGTTATATTCTACATTGTCATTCAAAAGCTTCCCAGTTAAACTACTATTGGTCTCTAGCTTCATGTAAACATCAATATCATCTAAAATAAAACATCAAAATTTTAACCAGCAAAACAAGAATCTATCTTTTTATATAATATAAACGGAAAAACTCGCCCTTCTTCTCAGAAATAACCAGGTCACAAGAAATCGCTCTTACTAGAAACATTCAATTGTGGCGCTTCTCTTTTTTCAAAGCGTCTTTAATTTTTTTCCATCTCTTAAAAACCCACTGATATTATTAAAATTTAAACAAACAACACAAATATATAAATAAATAGGGACACTTGAAATAAAAAACTTTTGGAAGTGTGTAAGGTCCAGCACCCACGGCGAAATTATTTTACAGCTATGGTCTGAAACCGATTGCGCTTCCAACAAAGAGTTTTCTGTGTCTTGTGGGCTAAACAGACTGCATTCTCAAGAATTTTATATAATAGGAATATTTAAGAGATACTCACCAACTGCTTAGCAATTTTTGTGATACGCTGTCCAGAAAAATTTCTACACCGAACGTAATAACCAATAGAGTACTTAAAATATATCCACCCATTTTGATATACCGCAAATATAGTTTAAAATCAATGTTTCCAGATTTCTTTTCCTCGTGGTAGACTTGTTTTCTACGTATTGCTGTTGATTCTTCTTCAATTAGCTTTGTCTTCTCGTTAATTTCTTCTTCATCTATTGTTGCTTCTGATTCGTTCACAGATAACGTTTCTAATCCTTCTAACATTTCGGTGGAAATATTTCGCTGATTTCCGGAAAATTTTATTTCCCCATCTTCTAGAATTACAACTTTATCTGCCAATTGTATGTGCTTGGGATTATGAGTAACAAAAATTACGCATTTATCTTTGAGCAACTCTTGAATGCAATGTTTAAAGATATGTTCTTGAACTCTGCTATCTAGAGCAGTAAGAGCATCATCTATCAGATAAATATCGCTTTCTTTATAAACAGCTCTTGCTAGATTAATTCTAGCTTGCTGACCCTTACTTAAATTCATGCCTCTGTCAGTAACTATTGTCTCGTCCCCTTTTTCTAGAATTTGGAAATCGTATTCTAGAGCGCAGGCAAAAATAACCTGAAAATAAAAAAATATTAAAAGCAATATTCCACTTTCTATTTCTCCACCCTTAATGTCGGAACTGTTTTTTTTTCTGTTATAGGTCATATTTGACTCTAATAAAGTGTCGTAAAAATGAATGGAATAAATTGATCAAATCTATATCATGGAATTTGGAAGAAAATTCTAAATCCAGTTGATTTTTATGAGAGTGATGACTAAAATGATATAAGAGGAATATATCTGATTACATTTTTCAACAACAATTTTTCAGTAATTCATATTTTACAGTCTTCTAAATTTGTTGCTAAATTACTTCTAAATATGTATTCTGAATAATTCTTAAATAATCAATAACAAGAAAAAGATATTAGTGCAATATTTACGCAAGTAATTTTAAAAGAAAAAACTAAAATTTTCAGAAACTCGATTTCAATCAAATGAAACCTAAAATGCCCAAAGAAGAAACCATAATAATAAAAAGAATATATTTTAAGAATCCTAAACTATCACTTTAATCTCCATTAAATTTCAATTTATGATTTTCTTGGCTTCTCTAAAAATTTAAATTTTTATTTCATATTTTCCTTATAAGATCTCTTTAAAGGCTATAGCGGGATAAGATGGTCAAAAGTGCCCCCGCACCGATCAGCAGCGCGATCTGTGTTTTCAATAAAGTGTATAAAAACATGACTTCATACAAATTTTCAGTTTTCCAGATGCCACGGAACCGCTTAAATCTAAAAAAGAAGATTTTTTCGACTTTATTTTTTTCTGGACGCAATTTTGCTTTAAAAAATCTGAAAAAATTCATGAAGGTGTATCTTTTGAATACAAAATAGCCTGATTTTTTTCAAATTTTTATATTAAATATTGAGCCTAGGAAAAATTATTGAAATTTTCAATAATTTTTTAGGTTATGTTAATAATTTTTGGCTAACTTTTAAATAGTAATTTTTTGTGTATTTTTTTTGTTCTTTTGAATTGCCAAGGCAAAATTTTCAAATTCTGAGCGGAAAGTATCGAAAAATAAAAAAAACCGTTTTTTTACTCATTTATTTGCACATAAACTTAAAACTCAGTTGTTAATTGAACATTTTTCAACATTTTTTCTTTCCACATTATCAAATCCTATTGTATAAGTCCCCATTTAACTCTTTCAAAAGGATAAAATTCGAAAATACCACGTTATTTATCCATTTCGCACTTTTTTACCTTAACTCAAAATCAGATAATTAGATGTATGCTTTTCCATCTATGCTCTTACGGGCTATGAATCATCATTGTTAAAATAATCATTTTTAACTTACAAATTCTTAAAATGCGAATAAATCATGTATTTATAATATTTTCCCACTTTATTGGCTCATAACCTTAAAATGTAGTAGATAAATGATCGAATTTCCGTGTATTTTTGATTGTACCGGGTACCCTTCAGTATTATTATACCACTTGTCTTTTTTTTTTTTCTTATATAGTCAATACTCGAAAAAAAACATTAACTTTAAGATTGACCCTTCCTCAACAATTGTATTTATCGTTTTTAATCGCATATCCGTTGCGAGTTAATATCGAAAATCTCGAGTCGTATTAAAATTCTCGAAGTAGTTGGTCAAATCGAAGTTTAGAGTTGAATATTATAACTACCATATATCCTATAGGCACGCGTATCCATATCGTACTCTATGGGCTAACACAGTCAAAGCGATACGAAGGCAACGGTGAGTCGAAGGCGACACGAAGGCGACACTAAACGAAAGCAGTGGCGACATCAACAATGTCTGCTACGCGCATGATCTGTAACCATGACAATGACAATGGGAGCATGCGCGTTGCAGACATTGTTTCTGTCGTTACTGCTTTCGCCTTGGTGTCGCCTTCGTATCGCTTTGACTGTCTTAGCCTTATTATCATCTAATCGTCTTCTTCTAAAATCCGTTACAGTATTATCAAAGATCTTGAAAACTATCAATCACATGGAAAAGTATAGAAAGAATCAGGTATATTAAAGTTATCGCATAGGTGCGCGTATGCATTCACCATCAGTTGCGATACTTGCGATATTCTCGAACTGAAATTATCAAAGTGCGATATCGTGAGAGGTTGATTTGTGAAAGTTAAATTGTGCTTACCTTATACTAATATCAATTTCAGTAAGTATACGGCGATACCCTAAGCTATGTTAGAGCATGTAATTATATAATATTGTTTTTGTTATCACAAGATCAAGAATTTGAGTTTTAGTAGGTTAGCTAATGAAATATATTAGCTCCTATATTTTGCATCAATCATAGTTATTCAAAAGCTAATATTAACATTGTATTTGATTGATTTTTTCATTTTCAGAAGACTGTACATTTGTAATTATTCTATAATCTCATCCGGGTCATGAATTTCAAACTTTAATGTAAAATCCTTTTTAATAGAATCAATATAGAAAAATTAAACCCGCTGGCTATTATAATAAGCTAGCAAGTTTACTTAAGTTACATTAATTTAAACAAATAGAAATTAAATATGCATATGGATGATTCTCTGTCAAGTGAAAGTCAAAAAAAGTTTTTAACTTGTCGGACCAACTTGTTTTGATTTTTGATGGAACATATTTACATCACCAAAAGAGTCAAAATAACGATTATCAGAGAAAGTCGTATTCAGGTCAAAAAAAGAAACCCTTGCTCAAACCTTTTACTATTTGTACTACAGATGGATACGTTGTAGATCTCCCTGGTCCATTTTATGCCACTGACAATGATGCAACCATCATGAAAAAAGTAATGGATGATCCAAATGGTATAAAATCTATCATGAAAAAAGGAGATGTGTGTATCGTGGATAGATGTTTTAGGGATGTTGTACCTTACTTAAAAAGCCTTGGCTTCAAGATTCTTATGCCTGCCTTAAAAGGAAAAAGATCCAATTTGACCACGGCTGAATCAAATGAATCACGCTATGTAACTAAATTGAGGTGGGTCGTAGAAGCCGTTCATGGAATTCTTGGCAAAAAATATAAGCTTCTTCATCAACAATTAGATAATAAACTTATACCAAAAGCTGGTGCATATTGTAAAATAGCATGTTTTATTAACAATTTATTTGGTAAGCGTTTGAATAGTGATCAAAATGATGATGGGTTACAGGATATAATAATCGAAAGAATGTTAAAATCTAATCAAGGTGACAATACTTTAGCATCAGAAGCTGAGACAGCTAGGTGATCAAGACGTCCTACTACAACGACTAAGCTGACATCGCAAGAAATCATTAACTTTCCAGAGATGACTGAAAGGGACCTCAAAATTTTTTTTTTCGGGAACCTATCAGTTAGGTCAAGCCATTTGCTATTTGGCTGAGTTGATGGATGATAGTAATAACATTAATTTGGAGTATATTACAATGAAACCAAATATTATTAAAGTGCTGATAAGATCCAGGCATATAAGCAGTAAGACCTATAAATGCCACATTGAGTATAAACCTGATTCAATTGGATATGGTGGTATTTTGCGTCACGCATGTGACTGTGCAAATGGGTTACGCACTGTGGATTCGTGTTCTCATATAGCCGCAGTTATATATTATCTCAGTAATGCAAGATATAAATCAAGAATCATAAGACCAGCAAAAACTCTGTCAGAAATTTTTAAATCTGATGTTGAACCTGTCATAGATGAGAATAGTGATGAGGACTAAAATGTAATTGAATGTTTAAACTGTTATAACCTATTGAATAACCATTTCGTAATAATAAATATTTTTGTAGCCAAATATTTTATATATGTCCTCGTTTATATCCAAATGAATTTATAAAACAATTTTTACAATGTTAAAAAAATATTTGAAAAATAATAATATTCTTGTCCTATTGAGGTGATCCTAGATCATTTTATGCTATTAACGAGTCAAAAATAGAAATAATACTTGGAAACCGTTTTTTTCAAGTTTTGACTATTTAAGAAAAAAAGATAAGTGGTATAACAAAATTGAACTGTGCGATCAAAAATACACGGAAATTCGATCATGTAGCTAATACATTTTAAGGTTAAGAGCCAATAAAGTGGGAAAATATTATAAATACATGATTTATTCGCATTTTAAGAATTTGTTAGTTAAAAATGATTAATTTAACAATGATGATTCATAGCCCGTAAGAGAATAGATGGAAAAGCATAGGTACATCTAATTATCTGATTTTGAGTTAAGGTAAAAAAGTGCGAAATGGATAAAAACGTGGTATTTTCGAATTTTATCCTTTTGAAAGAGTTAAATGGGGACTTATACAATAGAATTTGATAATGTGGAAAGAAAAAATGTTGAAAAATGTTCAATTAACAACTGAGTTTTAAGGTTATGTGCAAATAAATGAGTAAAAAAACGGTTTTTTTTATTTTTCGATGCTTTCCGCTCAGAATTTGAAAATTTTGCCTTGGCCATTCAAAAGAACAAAAAAAAATACACAAAAAATTACTATTTAAAAGTTAGCCAAAAATTATTAACATAACCTAAAAAATTATTGAAAATTTCAATAATTTTTCCTAGGCTCAATTTTTAATAAAAAAATTTGAAAAAAATCAGGCTATTTTGTATTCAAAAGATACACCTTCATGAATTTTTTCAGATTTTTTAAAGCAAAATTGCGTCCAGAAAAAAATAAAGTTGAAAAAATCTTCTTTTTTAGATTTAAGCGGTTCCGTGGCCTCTGGAAAACTAAAAATTTGTATGAAGTCATGTTTTTATACACTTTATTGAAAGCACAGATCGCGCTGCTGATCGGTGCGGGGGCACTTTTGACCATCTTATCCCGCTATAGCCTTTGTAACATCGATAAAGTATATAGTTTTAATAAAACTATGCATTTGCATATATTGTTGTATCACCCCAGATTGCGGTCCTGTCGATAATTCTTTTTCACTGCCATGGGATATTCTATAGTTTGATTCAAGATAAGCAATAGTTTTGGAACAGCTTACTAGGACCGGATTTTATATTATTTACAGAACTGACTAGGTACCTATCAG